AACGTGTCGGCCTGTCGCCCTGTTATCGCCGCGTCCTCCCAACTCCGATATCGCCACGGCGCTACATTGGCGATGGCCTGGCCGCGACTGGTTACCGGGGAAGAAAAGCTGAACTTTTTGACCTGTCGCCCTGTTATCGCCGCGTCCTCCCAACTTTGATATCGCCACGGCGCCAAATCGGCGATGGCAAGGCGACGACAGGTTTCAGGGGAAGAAAAGCTGAACATTTCGGCCTGTCGCCCTGTTATCGCCGCGTCCTCTCAACTTCAATATCGCTACGGCGCCATATCGGCGATGGCCTGGCCGCGACTGGTTACAGAGGAAGTTTAGGTGGACCTGCCGCCCTCGCAGCGTCCTCTCGACTCCAGAAGGATGGTGATGAATTGATGGTTACATTTTCTTGTAGTATAGACAAAAATAAATATTTTTTCTTAATTATGCTCCTATTTATTTCCCCTTTTACCAGAGACACACACTTTATAAGATTTGAAATTTCTAAACAGATACAGTTTAAAAATATACTATACTACTGGTAGAATATTTTGCTTTGAAAATTTGTCAGTCCTAAAGTTCTTAGATTAGTAGCAATAAAAATTACCGAACACTTATTGAACCCTGTGGTGTTTGGTATACTAGATAATTAGACCCTCAATGCAAAACAGGAAATCCAAATACAAACAAATGCAGTTAAATGTAGTTTCTTCAGGTGTCGAGCCTTGCAAAGATTGAGATAGTGCTTGTATGCACTGCGTGGGGAGAGGCTTGCGTCTGAAGAAGTAGCGATCTTCTCTCCTGTTGTTTTCAATTAGGCCTTGAGACTGTAAAGCACCTGCTGAAAATATTCATTTATGTTAAATTTAGTTGAAAAACAAAACTGTAGGAATTCCAAAGAAAAAATAAGCAATGAATATTTAACTTACTTTCGACATCAGTCCGGAGTCATGACAAGATCGCCTATTTTCAGTGTTGTACTATCTGTGTACCAGATTTCTCGCAGGTTAACATGGCATGTCTAAAAATAAACAAATAACAAGACCAAGCAAGTTAGGCAGTTAATTTACAAAAATGATAAAGATGGAAAGAGTTGGGATGGCATACCTCCAGGATGCATTTTGTAGTAAATAAAAATGTTAGGTTAACTCTTCATTCTGGGTCTTACTCATTATCTACCAGGCACCCAGTCCAACTTTCCCAGTACACACACACCGTTTGCTGGGTGATTAAAAGCAATAACAGAACCTATTAAAGAAAAGAAGGTAGAGAATTAATGTTTTCAGTAACAACAAATCTAACAAAATACGAAAGCTAGCTATTTGAAATGGTACCGTAACGAACTTAACCTATCACGTCAGAATAGACTTTCCTACATGAGATTCTAATAGCACTATTGTGTTCCACGTAACAAATAGAGACAGCTACGAATAGCTCTGAAGTTATCAGTTGCACTAAATATGTACGCACTCTAGTCAAAATAAAACACATAAGATGACAAGTCTTTCGAGTTAACAACCCAAGCAGGCGTAAGCATCATAGCAAGCAGAAGCCTTTTTGAGGCTAAATCAACAGGATCCATAAACGAAACAAATGCGTACCGTCCAACAGAAGTTCGTTGTGAAGGGATCTCTTAAGTACTAAACACTATGTCCATAATAATTAACAAGTGTTTTGAGCGCAACGCTAATATGCGCAAAGCAAGCGCCTGTGCGTCTTGTCTGGTCTGCTGCTGCGTCACGCTAAGCGGCGCGGCGGCGGCGAGCCGTACTGTCCGGCAGCCGGCCGGACTCGACCAATCGACGCACTCACGATGTGAGGGATGACGTCACAACACTTTCGTTTCGTCTGCTCTGAGTTTGGCGTTTGCAGAAGTAGAAGAAACTTGAAGTTTCTCTTCTCGATCTCAATCGTTTAAAGTTTGAAATGGCTTCTGCTACTGTGCGTCTGCTTTGTAATACAAAAAATAGTTCTAGTTTCTTAAATGTCTTGAATGTCTATCATCTGAAGATTAGAGTGTTTCACGAATTTAACAAATTTAAGGTTATTTTCCACCCAAGTGTAAAAAATATATTGCAATTT